CAAACGTGAAACTTACACGTTTGCGTTACACGCTCCAGTGGAGAGATATCCAGATGTTTATTAGCCTCTGCCATAACGACCACCAGCTAACACAAATACGTGACAGTTACGTAACTGCAACGTAATCTGGTGACCAAACTTTCGTCGTGGCGGCGTAACCATGAACCAAAAGGGATTTGATTTCTGCCAAAAGGGTTTCTTTAGTCATAATATTTGATACATTTCACTAATTTGAATGTGGAAAACTTTTGTGGAAAGTCAAAATGTTATATATATATATATATATATATATATATATATATATATGGGTTGGACAATGAAACTGAAACACCTGGTTTTACAACACAATAATTTGTTAGAATGGTGAGGGCCTCATTTTGCATCCAAATACAGCACCAATTGACAGATAGAAGTCCTTCACAGTGACCAGAGGGATTATGAGCCGTTCCTCTTCCAGAACAGTGTCCAGGTCACTATATGATGCTGGTGGACTCGCTCCTCCAAAACACCTCAATAATATTCAGATCTGGTGACTGTCAGACCATGGGAGATGTTCAACGTCACTTTCATCTTCATCAAACCCTTCTGTCACAAGTCTTGCTGTGTGTGTTGTGCAATGATCACTGATACCGGTTTGAGCATCAGGTGCTCATGATCCTCCAGAAGGGTTTGGTAGTCCTCGGCAGTGTCGTGTCCATCAAATACAATCAGGATTGTCATGATATTGGAGCTCAAACCATCACTGATCCACCCGTGCTTCACTCTGAAGATTGGCCGCCAGGCATATAGATGTGAAACCTCCAACATTGGCCAGTGTTTCAGGTTCATTGTCCAACCCCTGTATATATATATATATATATAGATTAGCCACTCATCTATATTTCAAGTGTGTTATTGGTTTGACAAAGATTTTTACTGAATATCTACAATATCGATCAGCAATAAAGTAGATAATAAAGTAATTGTCAGCTTAGGCTGGTCAACGAGGAGGCCAAAATTACAGCATAAATGTTTTGTTTTTTTGTCCTCCAGTGTGTATATAGTGTTCCTCTCCCAGAGGCAAAAACGGTAACCCTTAATGGAAAACATCATGTTTTATTGATGAATCAGACTTTGCTCTGGGCTCGGTACATTGTATGAGTTATTGCTTCAGTGTGAAGCGATATGCTATTTATCATTGTTCATCTGCTTTAAGTGAGGGAAATAAGACTTCAAGATCCCTGTTAACTGTGCTTAACATCTATTTTTTAAGATAAGGTTTTAAGTTTAGGAACATAGGCTATACCTAAAATTGTTGTTCACAATGTCGTAAGTCTAAGATTCCCTACATGTTTGAACACATTTATGTGATTGGACTTTTAATTCAAAAATTATATTGTATGTGTGCAGATCTGGAGCACCTGTCCTAACCGCTGTCTCAATTCACCAGCAGGTGGCGCTATTGGCTTAACTAGAACAGGACAAACACGTGTTGGGGGGTGAGATTATCTTCCATACATCTGAGCATATGGGAGCTGCAATATATAGGCTTCAGATAGGTGTATAAATTGTTATTTTGTAAATTAACGAATATGCAAAAAAGGACATTATGTTAGGAAGTCAAATACAGCACCAGTTTCTATTGTTTCGGCTCATTGCTTTTATTTAAGTAAAGTTGCAATTGCAAATAGCAGTATCTCCACACAACATTTGAAAAAAAGCTTTCAAACTTCTGTTCATCTATTTTTACACTAACAGTGATGGCTGATACCAACTTACAGAATTGCAAACATTTTACTCACTGTAAAAATAAGTCATGACAACATATTTTTATATTACATGAACTCATCAAAATAAATGATACAAGATTAAACAAATTTTTAAAGTCAGTTTAATGTAATTTAAGTTTAAATTGCTTACAGCCAAGTTGATTGTTATTAAAAATTTAATGCTTTTCATTTTTACAGTGTTATAACGAGGAAAAAATGGAAAACGCCACAGTAAAAATATGTGATATACATAGCTATGAATCTCCATAAATATTTACGGCAAAATTCTTTTTTTTTTTTTTTAGATGTTTTTAGATTTTTGCTGAATATTTACCACCAAAATCTTTTTTCTTTTTATAGATTTTTTAATTTTTGCAGAATATTTACAGAAAATGTTTTTTTTTAATGTTTTTAGATTTTTGCCGAATATTTACGGAAAATCTTTTTTTAGATGTATTTAGATTTTGCCGAATATTCACGGCAAAAATCTTTTTCCTTTTTAGATGTTTTTAGATTCTTGCCGAATATTTATGGCAACAATATTTTTCTTTTTTTTTAGATGTTTTTACATTTTTGCCAAATATTTACGGAAAAATCTTTTTGTTTAGATGTTTTTAGATTTTTGACGAATATTCACAGCAAAAATCTTTTTTCTTTTTAGATGTTTTTAGATTTTGACGAATGTTTACAGCAAAAATATTTTTAATATATATATTTTTTAATATATAATCTTTTGTTTAGATGTTTTTAGATTTTGACGAATATTTACGGAAAATCTTTTTTTTAGATGTTTTTAGATTTTTGACGAATATTCACAGCAAAAATCTTTTTTCTTTTTAGATGTTTTTAGATTTTTGACGAATGTTTACGGCAAAAATCTTTTTCTTTTTAGATGTTTTTAGATTTTCTAGATTTTTGCCGAATATTTATGGCAAAAATCTAAAAACAAGATTTTTGCCGAATATTTACAGCAAAAATATATTTTTTTAATATATATTTTTTTTCAATGCATGTTCTAAAATTAAAACGTTACATTTATTTCACCTCATAATTTACTGTACTAATCTGTAAAAATGATGTGCAGGAGTCTCTGCGTGACGCATCACATAAATCCTATTATATTCATCATCAGTTATAAAGGCTACATTGGAGTGTTTTGTGTAGTAGATGGGCGTTAATTGCATTACTGCATTATTTTACATTAAAAAAATAATATGATCAAAAAGTTATGACAACTAGTTCTTACATTACTTTAACTCATACTATAATTTAAGCAATTTTCCACATAAAGTTATACAAGATTCAACTCATGTTTAAGTCAGTTTAATGTAATTTAAGTTGAAATAACCTAAACATCCAAGTTGATTGTACTTTTTCTTTTTCTTTTTTACAGTGTTTAGTGTTTAGCTCTTTGAACCTTTAATTCAGCATGTTCTCTTCTGTTTATGGTGGTTACATCAGTAAACTATATTTTCATGCTACAAATCAGATTTTAGTTGTTTATGCAAGGCTATGCTGGAATATTTAGGTTACACTTTATTTTAAGGTGTCATTGTTACAGTGTAATTACTGAGTAATATTAAGCAACTATGCACTGGTTAGGATTTGGTTTAGGTTTACAGTAGTTGCATGTTAATTATGCATAATTTACTGTTATTATTATAATGTAACAAGGACACTATAAAATAAAGTGTTACCTTATTTTATTTAATGAAACATTATATACGATTTTGAATTGAAACAAACGAGCACCAACATGTCATGATCCCATAGTGTCTAAAACTTCAAGCAGCCAAAGTTGCGTTTCTTCCTGTAAGTTGTGTAGGTTTGTTGTTGTTTTTCGTTACTGGTGGGCATGAAGACCCCTCTGTGCCCAGACTGCCGCCACTAGTCGCCCCCAGCGCCACGCGTCACATCACGCCCGTACTTCAACTTGAATCCCATTCCATTCTTCAGAGGCAACCCCTGCCACACACACACACACACACACACACACAGGGTCCTCCCTGAGACGTGATTGCTCGCGTCCTGATTGATCTGGAGAGGAGGTGTTGTCTTCAGAGGTTGAGCCATTCTGCGCTCTGATGCCAAGCGCACATGGAGGACTGTGCCAAAGACTGCGCTCACCTGGCGAGCCCGCCGTCCACGGATCTTGGATTTCCATTATAACCGGACAACAACTGTTTTTACGACTTTTTAAAAGAACGAACACGCGCATTTAAAGACTCGGAGTCGATGTCGCCAGAGGTTGTCGTCGGAGTGATCTCCTCACATCGCTGTCTCAGGTTAAGTGGCACTTAGTTACCGCTTCACAACAGCCGATACCAATTTATTCTGTTCTGAGAGGACAAGTGTGAGTTTGAACCGTTGATAACGACCCGCGAACGCAGTGGGAACAATACCTGGACTGCGGAGGAAAGTTTGGAGAGCTTCGGGAGCATTAGTCCGAGTGTCCGTGAGATGCTGCTGTGAATGCGGGGCGATGTCCCGACGGAAGCAAGGAAACCCACAGCATCTGTCCCTCACACAGAGGGAGAACCGACCGAGTGAGTAGGCTACACGCACTGTCACACACACACACACACTATATCCCACAGACTTCAGCAAAACTTTCTTTCTTTCTTTCTTTCTTTCTTTCTTTCTTTCTTTCTTTCTTTCTTTCTTTCTTTCTTTCTTTCTTTCTTTCTTTCTTTCTTTCTTTCTTTCTTTCTGAAGGTGTATCTACAAAAACAACATTGTTAGTCAGACTGAAATTGAGGTAAACATGATTAGCTTTTTTTTTTTAAATGCAGAACTGCTGTTTCACGTTTATAATTATCAGCTCATAAACCATAAATAAGTTCTATTTTTGACAAATGTAAATATTTATGTGCACTATCTTATTATTATAATTTCACTTATCGATAAAAACCGTTTGGGCCTGTTAGTTTTTATTGTTTTGCAATCAATCACTATGATACTGCGAAAGTGCGAATGATTCACATTTACTGTGAATACATTATTTGAGCAATTTACAACAAGTGCTAGATGCAATTCATAGCTTACAGTTATCACCCCAAATACTGAGACCCCTACGCTCATCTGCTCAGTCCCCCTCAGAGCACACACACACACACACACACACACACTGCTTATCAAGTTTACTTTATGTAGTTTATTTAAAACGCCCAAACTTTGCTAAATAGCCTGCCGTTCATTTACATCTAAAACAAAGTGCTTATTCGTTTATAATTTGTTTTGTATTTTTATTATAATCTCTGTTTTACAGTATTTTTATCTAAGATGCTCTACACACTATTTCTTGTAAAACTTTATGTAAAAGCTTCAAGTGATCTAAACCCTTATTTAAATTTTCTTTTACACTGTTTTTTATTATTATTCATTCACCTAAAAGCTTTTTTATTTTGCACAATAAAAAAAAGAATAAATTAGCTGAAGCGTAAACTATTCAGAATTACACAATGCAACCTAATCCGTCTATTTTATAGCAGCTCAATGATATAATCTCCACGAAATGTTTCCAACACTGATTATATCCACAAACAATAAAAGACCAGGAAGTTTTTACCCCCCCCCCCCCCTCCCATTCCCATTAATAATACTTTGCAGATCATTGATATGAATGATCCCGTACTTTTTTTTTTTTTTTTTTACTTTAACACGTTTTATTGACTGACCTCAAGATGCATTTAACAAATAATTCGTATTACAAATGATTGTATTTTTATCTGACTTGACATTTTTATGCTCTGTGCTTTTTCCCTGGTTATTTATTAAGTAATTTCTGGTTTCGCTGAGAATGTGTGTACAATGCGAGGGCGTGCCTTCCTGAAAATAGTAGATTATGAGTATAAATGGTCTTTACACGTCAAATTTGACACTGTTGTCGGCTTTCTCAGAAAACGACAAGACAGGAGATGAGAAAAATGTGTTAAAGGAGTGGGTGGGCTTATAGAGAGCCGGTGGCCTTTAAATTCAAAACCACTGCTAGTCATCCAGTTCATTTCACCTGATTTAGTCCCCCATAGTTATAGTTTCTGGTTTCTTTCCACTTGTACTGATTAACAACAAACACGAAAACGTCGTGTACATTAGTGCCTACTTAAATATGTGTGTTTGTACAGCGAAAACCTGTCCAGTGTATGTTTCAGTGTGCAAATGCAGAATAATTATACTGTGTCTCTCAAATACAAACATAATTAGTCTGGCAGTAGTGTGTGTCGCTTGGCAAACTCGCAGTTTACATTGTGCGCTCTATGCATGTGTGCAGAGTGCAAACCGACACTTTTTAAAGTGGACCCGGCTCAGGTTTGCACGCCACCCTCAGGTCCTCGTGCCGTTCAGGGGTGTCTGTCCGCTGGGGAAAACCCAAGTGCCCTCATTTGGCTATGTCAATGCTCTTGGCGCAAAAACATGTCAGTTAGCTGGAGTTTGCACAATAGAGAGAGTGACAGGACCTATATCACACTCAAGGAAACAGGAATATCCACATACTTCCCGTCTTGAAATAAGCGCGGGGTGCACTCTCCGCCCGCAGGTGTGCGCGTTATAAAAGACGTCTCGACCTAAAATGGCAGGGCTCTCGCACATGCAAAATACGGGCTCTTCAAGACGCTCAGTAGTTAGTTTTTCTTCATGGGTGAATTGTGTGAACATGTATGATTCATTACATCTCTGCCTTTTTTGTTGTTGTTGAATGGGTCGGTTGTAGGTGGGGGCCGTCCATTAGGGCCCTTAAAATGCTAAAACGACTCTTGCTTTGAATGTTCACATGACGTATTCGGTGATCTTCCAGTGGCCGCTGGTCACCGTGAACCACTGGACTTCTGTGCCCTTGATTTCAGAGAGTGAAAAGAGTCACATCAGCCTTTTTACAGCTGGCTTTTTTAGGAGTGATTTTATAGCAATCTTTGTGTGTGTGTGTGTGTGTGCCTCGGAGAGAACTTCTTTCACAGACCGTGTGAGCCGAGAGCTGTTTGATGGACGTGCGGTTACCCGCTGATCGGACTCGTCTGACCTGACTTGGCAAATATTATAGGCGAGTCTCTGTTCGGTTTATTTCACGAGTGTCGCATTTGCTGTTTTGCACAGCTTCAGTGTGCACGGTTGAAGCTGACAGGGGGTGCTGTAAGTCCTTGCCTTTCTGCTGTTATCTCGGGACGCTTGTCCCGAGAAAAATGGCGTTCGTCAGGTCCAGTTTTGTGTCCAGCCTCTCACGGGGAATTCGGATGCCCCAACGCCTGTGATGAGACGACTCAACGCCTGTGAAGAGACGACTCAACGCCTGCGATATGTTATGCGCCGTTTGATTCATAAACAATATTTATATTTAATATTTATATTTAAACAATATGAATGTAAGCCAGAGAGAACTGGCCCCGATGAGCCTGGGTTCTCCCAAGGTTTTTTCTCCATCCAATCTGATGGAGTTTGGTTCCTTGCCACTGTCGCCTTGCTTTTGGCTTGCTTTGAGCTTGCTCAGTTGGGTTATTTATTTAGTGTTTAGCAATGTTGTGTGCATGTGATCTGACTGTGTACTTACTCATGTTATCACTGTGATTTGGTGCTGCAGCTACATGTGCACGATTGAAGCTGATGAGCTTGTGCTTGACTTTACGAGAGGGAAAGTGATCGTGTGTGTGTGTGTGTTTTCCTTGAGAATCTGATTACTGCCTTCAGGAACCATGATAACTGTATTTATAATGGTTAATACCCTAAATTGCTATCTCTTCTCCCGAGTGTATCATTCCCACAACAGGCTCAGTATAAATCTCTTATCTTACGCTAAAGGTAATTAATTCAGTTTATTGCTGTATAGACTTCACCCTGGGGAGCAGTGATATAGATGCCGTTTCACATCCTCGCCTACACTAACTTTTTAAAACAATGTTTGTGGTTCCGCTCTCAAATTTAGGGCTTTATGGGAGGCTAGCACACATGTGCGTTTCAGAATTGTGCGCGTTTGTTTGGCAAACGTCCAGAAGCGGTTGAGAGTGTATAGGCCTTAAATGAAGATAAGCACGTCTGCATATGGATTCTTTTTTTTTTTTTGTACTTGCACCTGTGAGCTCAGAAATCACAATTAGGCAAAGTCTTTTCACACATGCTGAAGACGTTAACAGATCCTCAAATATATAGCACTCACAATCTGTGAATTGTGCAGAATGCGCTCTAGGCTTATTATTACTTTAATCCAGGGCCATAACCATCATTTGACCTCAAATCATTCATTATATAGAATTATATATAATTAGGCAAATTGTTGATGAGCATGGATTATTATTATTTTTTTTAGTGAGTAATTAATAAACGTTTATCTTTGCTTCCATCACAAATTATTCTAATTACTACAGTGTTATGAAAGATTTTTTAATAGTTTATCTGACTTTTTTTCATATATATATATATAGATTGTTTGATTACACACTCGTGTTATACGTGCGTATTGGTTTCCTTTTCGTGTGCATATTTGAAGTGGGGTTCAAAACCATTGCATTTTTAAATTATTATTGTTATATAATCATATGCCAGTTTGAGTGAAATGTTGACCAAAACAATAAATGCATTTCTGAAAATATAATTTTGCATGCCCCGCCTTGGCTTTAATAACTGAAGCACTTTAGCTGCATAAGCTGCTCCGTTTGTTTTTTCCCAGTATAATTCGAAAATGTTTCAATGATCGTCTGACGCTTCAGTGCAAACTAAATCTGACTATTTGTTCAAAAGAGTTCACATTGTCAGTGTCAGTATATCTCACTCCTTATATTCCATGTTTCTTTGTTTTAAAACGAACTGTTTATTTCCTAATTTTGAGTTAGACTGCACATGGACCTTTTTGTTCCTCTGAATAATAAGCAAATATCTGTATTATTAATAGAAACTCTAAGCTGATGATATGTGATTGATAATATATCAGCCTGTAAAGGTGTATGTTTCAGCGTCTGATTGAAATATCACACCGCACACATCATCTGCTGTGCACCTGTGGCTCCCATAACCCCCTTCTCCCGTCGAGTCCGCTGCTCACGTCTGGCCTGTTCGGGACGGCTCCCTCCCAGCGCTCAGTTTGCGTGGCATTGGACTCATTCCAAGTCTACGATTTTTGTCTTCTCCTCCTTTTGGCGTCCGCTCTCGAGAGCCGAGTGTGTGGCAGCGGCCCGGTGTGTGTGTGTGTGTGATGTCTGTTTAGATATCACATGCTGTCAACTATATCAGGGGTTCCTAAAGCTTCCTCTCAGCTGAACCCCTTAGATGTCAAATATTTACCTATATCAATAATTTAATGACACAATCACATGCTCACGGTTCTCTGATGATCATTTGTTATCACAAATTTTGCACTTAGATCAGTAATGTGGATCAGATAACATTATATTTAGAGTTAGCATTCATTAAACCAATCTCTTTTGTGGGTTTAACTCAAATTTATTATTTCAATCGACTCAAAATTTTAAGTTAAACCAACAATATTTTTTTTTAACTGTGTAGCATGCAAATAAACAGGTCAAATGTGACATCTTTTTTAGTTGTAAGTGTTTGACTTTGTTTGTTTTCATTTTTAAATTCTTTATATAATTTCTTTTGCACGGCAAAAATCGCAGTGCAGTTATTTTGTCGTCAGTTGGAAAGACAAGTATATTTCAAGTCAAATCAAGTCTCATTTATTTATATAGCGCTTTATAAAATATGATTGTTTCAATGCAAGATTACACTTTGTTTTATAGTGTCATTGTTACATATGTTACATGTGGTTAGTAATGCATTAATTATGCATAAATACACGCAACACTAACCATATAGTAAGTACATGTAGTTAATTAATATGCGTAACAGTGCAACAAGGACAGCTTCAATTAAAATGAAACTCTACAATGTTAGGAATAGGTTTAGTTTAGGGTTAGGTGCATGTAGTTCTGCATAATTTATAGTTGTAACATGTAACAAACAAGGGCACTTTAAAATATTTCATTTAATTATTAGCTTTACAAACCCCATGGGAAACCCTGGATTTAATACAGAGCAAGATATACTGTTTTAAAAGAACTCTAAATATCAATTTGTCACTAAATGCCCCAAGGGATTGTGGGTCAATATGCTGAGTCAAAAAAAAAAAAAAAAATTAAAATGCTACAGGAGTCAAGTTACTGTCGCTCTTCCCAGGACCCAACCAGTGTGTGTTGCAGAGTGTGTTTGTCCCTCAGGCTGAGACTGGAGTTGATTTGCTATCAGATCTCATTCTACTGCTGTTTTTTTTTTTAATCTTTCTGTGAATCTGTTTTGTATCTCAGTGTGGTTTTGTGTGTTGCGTCAGATCCTTTTCACAGCAAATAGTTGACTGTTTTGTCATCGATAATAATTTGGGCGTCGAGATGGCAAACAGGGAATTTCGAGAGGGTGCGAAATGACAAAGATGAGGCTGGTTTTCACACACTGAAACGGCTGTTTGTGAGGCTCCTTAACCACTGTTCCCAAGGTGCACCTGCGATGCGAGGCGACCCGTGCCTGAGAGCGTATTTTGAGACTGTTTTGCGGCTTTTGCGAGTGCTAGTTTGTCTGCTGCGATATATACCTGTACGGTGCATGTGCACCTCTCCAACATCCGTCCAGCGTGCAGAAAAGTAGACCGGAAACACAGATACCACTGCAAGACTGCGACTGTACTACCTGCCACACACACTCACACACACACACACACACACACACACGTCTCATCTTACTGTGCAACTCACAGGTGTTCGTCTATGCTTTGCGAGCTGTAAATTTCACTTTTTGAGGACGGTATCAGACACAGAGGACCATATCGATCGACATATCAGTTCTACAAAGAAAAGCTTGAGACAGTTTTACTCTAAAAAATGCTGGGTTGTTTTAACCCAGCTTGGGGTCAAATATGGACGAACCCAGCCATTGGGTTAAATTTTTGCATTAAATCGTTAACCCAACATATTGGTTTGTCCATATTTGACCCAAAGTTGGGTTAAAACAACCCAGCATTTCTAGAGTATAGTGCTACTGTAAAAAAAATTTATTTTTACATTTTTAAGTACAAGCAACTTGGATGTTTGGATGTCAACTTAAATGACATTAAACTGACTTAAATCTTGTATAACGTTGAATATTGGTTAACTTATTTTGATGAGTTCAAGCAATGTAAAAAAAAAAACATGTTATGACTTATTGATTATGTCATTTTTTTACAGTGGATACGTTTTTATTAACCAATTCTGTACACTCGCAGTGATTTGTGAGGATAGCTTGCAAATGTGTGTGGAACATTTTGGTCCATGAAGTCGTTTAAAATAACTCATTTGTTGACTGTGTGTAGAGTCTACGGTACATGCAATTCCCCAACAGGCAAGTTAATCATGTCTGGACCAGTTTGATAGCCAGACAAAAAACAAAAAACAAAAACCAACAGATTTGCAACTCACAATAACTGAAGAGCAAAAATCACAGACACACCAATAGCAATTTGTCATTTAGAAACCTGACAGGTACTTTAATTAGTACGACTAGTGAATTCAAGGCAATTATTTATAATATTCCACATTTTTTTTAGAACACAATGTTAATTCAAAATGCTTCACACAGTTATAATAAAGAAAAAAAGCTCTAAAGTGAGATATAAGAGACATACTGTATATACAAGTGTATGCAAATGGATCTCGATAGAAATCAAAAGGAGTATTTTTGAAGATTCTTCAAGAAGCTCTTTTCCAAAAAAATGACAATTCACTGGGAAGCCTCGTAAATGATGAAAAAAGGGGCATAAAAGTAGTCAATTCGGTCTTCTGAATTCATATGACAGCTTTTTGTGACAAACACGACTGCAATTTAAGTTGCAATTCACTGAAAGTCTTTTCTTCTATCAAATATGGTTTACATACAGCTAAAGTAGGGAACGTGAATTTCAGGGAACATCCTATGTAAATAACTGTTATAAGTTCCTCAAAAGCTATCAAATGATTTCGGAAGACCTGCAATGTAGTGATATGATATCTACTGTTTGTTTTTTGAAGCTTGACAGCCAAAATAGCTGTTTGAAGATTCAACAAGGATCAGGATATTTCAGCACAGTGGTTAATTTGAGAATGCAAACAGATGCTGTCAGTCCGGACTTGAATGTGGTTACCGTCCGGGAACTTTTGACATCTTTTGGAAATCAAATAATGTTCACCTGCACTTGCCAAACATGTAATGCTGTTCACAGTTCACACTGCTGTAGTTAGTCACACTTGTCGCTAGTAGCAAATCTTGCAAATCTCAAATGACAGCCGCCTTTGGTGAAATATATTCAGAAGTCAGCATTTGAAGTGGATCAAAAAAATTTGTCCTAAGACGAGAACGGGTATTGTTCCAAATTCATGGATAACTTTGATTAAAGGTTTTGATCCACTTAAAACTACTGTAGTTGACATATATATCACTGTAAAAAATATTTTCGTGATTTGTAATCACAACATTTTTTCTTTTGTCAAATCAACTTAGATCATTTGTGTAGTTCAGATAACATAATATTTTGAGTTTCTGATTGATTAAATCATAATTAAAACTCAATTTTTCAATTTCAATGAACTTAAAATTTGAAGGCAACCTGGTTACCTAATTTGTTTAAGTTAAACCAACAATATTTTTTTACAGTGCTTCAGTGGTGCAATTTGTGACGTCGATAGTTACAGAAACATCTTTGATGATTTCCTTTTTTTATAATTTGGTATTGACTTAAAGTTTAAACTTAAATTAAATCCTATAAGATTCAGATGACCAAAACATTAACTTAGACCCTTATGGATTTTAACATATATTTTATAAAAAGAGAAATAGCCAATGGAAACAATATTCAAATGGATTCAAACAGAAACGCATTGAAAGACTTTTGTCTCGACAGTTACAGTATTTGCAACTACCAGATTGATCTGTTACATCTCAAAATGGATTATTAGACACCATTCATTATTATTATGCACTGTGGACTGATTGTTATTTTCTCCCCCCTGTGTTTCACGCCTCAGCTGGGCCAGATCATGACGCAGGGGTGGACCAGTGCCCATCGGACGGCTCTGTGGGCGGCGCCGGAGAGAGTGACCTGCTGACCTGCGGTCAATGTCAAACCAACTTCCCCCTGGGAGATATTCTGGTGTTTATCGAGCACAAGAGGAGACTGTGTCCCGGACCCAGCGTGTGTTTCGACAAGCCGACCGACTCCCCGTCCCCCAGACCCCCGCGGGTGGAAGTGTGTCGGAGGTCTGGGCCCGTGGAGGTTGGGATCCAGGTCACGCCAGCAGAGGAGGAGGAGGAGGTGAAACGACTGACGCCCGCCAGAGGAATCTGCCCCAAGCAAGAGGGCGTCCCAACAGGTAGGTGTTTTAACACTGAAAGCTGGAGGAGGGGGAGGTTTAATAGTCTGAAGCTTGGCAGGAGAGAGACGTCTGTGAAGTTACAAACACACAAAGACTCTTAATCATATTCTTTAAACGGGTAATACTCTTAAAGAACCAACAAAAAAAGGTAGTTTCTGGTCAAGAATCTTTTCACTGTTAAGTTCTTCCGATTTTACCAGTGTTGTAGTACTCGAGACTCGGACTCTAGGCCTGTTTAGATTATAATGCTAGTATATGGGGGCATATAATAAGTAAAAATAAATTGCTAGTTAATACCACTAACGAGGCTCAAAATAGCCCCACACTAACACAGTAACATAATGAGGGTCCATACATGCAAAACGAAGCATTGAGAACTGTGTAAGTCGAACCACGAACGTCGTGCTGAGTGAGCTGAACTGTATGAAGTTCAGCAAACTTCTGAACTGTATGAACGGCGTTCGTGGTTCGACTTGTCGAGACTGTTTTCCAAAGATGGCTCCTGCCTGTATACACGAAGTGAACTTTCTTGATAAAGTATCTTCTTATTAAACGGTCTGGACACTTACAAAGTTCTCAATGCTTCGTTTTGCATGTAGGGATCCTAATTACGGTGTTAGTGTGGGGCTATTTTGAGTCTTGTTAGTGGTATTAACTAGCGATTTCTTTTTACTTATTATTTGCCCCCATCCAAATCTCAGAGAACGGTTCACTAGGTACCAATGTGTTATTAGACCAAAGGTTCGTTTAGCGCCGGAGTTCTCCTTTAAGCGGTCCACGCATTGTCCATGTGATGTAATTTTCGTCATTGTAAAAAGTGATCAGTTGACCCATTGCCTTAAAATTATGAAGTAAATAAATGTCATGCTTAATTGAAAAAATTAAGTTACGTGTACTTGAAAATTCCAAATTACTTCATTTTTTTTTCGATTATGCATGAAGTTTATTTATTAATAATTTTAAGGCGACGGGTTTACAAAAAAAAAAAATTAGTAAGTGAGCTGAACACTTTTTACTGTGTGTGGAGGGTACACGCGTATGGTGCACGCACAACAGCCATGCTTACGGTGAACACTGACATAGAAGAGTCCGCTAGTTGGCGATAAACACAGTTGTGATGTACTATTGACTAGTCGAAGAAGAGTTTGCAAAGAGCGATACTAATGGCAGATACGCAACTATTCTTCTTCTATCCTTCCGAGCGAATGCCCTATAAATGACACGACTCAGTGCTGCCCTCTAATGTCTGGTAGGGTATACATTTACATTTTATTCATTTAGCTGACGCTTTTATCCAAACGACTTAAAATTGCTATATATGTCAGAGGGCGCACGCCTCTGGAGCAACTAGGGGTTAAGGGTCGTGCTCAGGGACACATTGGTGTCTCACAGTGGATTCGAACCCGGGTCTCTCACACCAAAGGCATGTGTCAATCCACTGCGCCATCACTACCTCACTCAGGGGTATAAAAAAAGCAATTGTACTGCGCATGTATACCTTGAAAATTGTGCGCGAAACGGAGCGTAACGAGGAAAATAAAGAATATAGATATATATGAACACACACATAGTGTTCACCGGTTCTGACTGGATCGCTTCTCTCAAAAGGTCCTTTTCTTTTGACTCGGGCCTTCAAGAGGGATTAACACCCTTTGCATGATTTTATTAGAGCAAGACGCAGCATCTCTCTCTCTCTCTCTCTCTCTCTCTCTCTCTCTCTCTCTCTCTCTCTCATCTTTAAGTGAAACATAACAGTCCTGAGTGCGCCAGCAGCTGAAACCAATTCTCTAAGAGGGACAAACTCCAGAAATCCTCACCCGACGTGTTTGGGGGAAATATCATCGTATTAAGGAAAAGAAAAAAGAAAAAGGCTAAGAAAGCCCATTAAAATTCAAGTGCTAAAAGACATAGTATGGGGATTAATGAAGAAGATTCCTCATTCCGAGGGTTAAAGACTCAGTTTAGCGTGCGGGGCCTGGAGGGGCCACATGTTATCTTCCAGCACAGTGCCGCCCACCCTCCTCTCAGCACACACAGCCTGGACAAGGAAATGCTTCACTATGACAAATAGAGACAAAGTCAGCAGGACCCAGACTTCAGCCTCGTCAAGAGTTTTTTTCTTTCTTCTCTTTTTTTTAAAAGTTATTAGTTTTTTAATGTGCCTTTTTAAAGCACAGTTTTTTTTTTTAGATATATTATCTGAATTTTTTACTGAACAACTTCGGCTTTAGTTTTGCTTCGCTGACAGAAGTCGTCAAGGTTATCCACAGAAATGCAGGACAGGAAGGTGCTTTGGGCTTGAATGTAATATTTTCAGAGCATGAAAGCTTTGCTCAACACCTTAGATTGCCACTTAACTGTCTTAAAGTTTCAGCTAAATTAGATTATATTTAATGGGGCTAATTAAATACAATATGGAGCTATGGTCACCTAGAGGCAAAATCCATTCATGCTGTGGGCCAAAACACCGAGCGTTAACCCTTTCTCATCTCATCCGGAGATGTTATGATGAATGCTGAAAATGGTGATTTAGGATAAGTATTAAGTATGTTTATTAAGATTTTTTTAAATGAATAGATAAGAGAAGATAGATTTAGAAATCTTCCTCTCAAATCTATTACGGGTATAAATCTGATTCCAGAGTAATAACAAACACACATTCTCTGTCTTGTTTTCTGGTATTGAGTTTTAATTGTGCATTTTTATTAAATACATAATACAGTTAAATCACTTAATTATATGTACTTTTTAAAAAATAATCCAAATTAATAATATATTAAAACAACTGATACAGTGATGCATTAGAGAGTCATTTTTCTTCTCCCACCCCTAATTTACATGCATTCAAATACAGTATTGTGCATTGAGACGTCACACCAGATTTGACACACGCAGATTTCTCAGAGTGGAATATGGGACAGACACAGAACCCACAAAACCACAAAACCTATGCACACATACAAGTATTTACACTTAATAATATTGTTAGCTATGTAAAAAAAAAAAAGTAGACTTACATACATTTGCAGATCAGTGGGAACAAGATGGTGCAACAGCATCATTCACTGTTGCTGTTTTGTATTTTTCACTAGAACCAATTTTTACCAGCATGTGCTTGTCTTTCAAGAGTTTATCATAAAATGTGGAACAGTCCAGTCCGAAATTAATTCGTATGAAAAGTGTTGCAGTTGTTTGTTGTTACAAATGTACCAGGCAGGCAAAAAACAAGCTCCACAGCCAAAGATACACACAATATCACTCAGCAAAAAAATAAAATATGTATAGAGGGAATGCATTGACATCACTTTCCCGCCGGAACAACCCCCCCTCAGCCTGACTGAGTGGCAAAAGATCTGCTGCGTGACTGGATTTAATAGGCGAAACTGCGAAAATGCGCCTAAAACGAACAATTTTATCAATTTAAACTAAATGTTGGACTCAATATAGTGTTCCTTACAACTTACTAAAGATCCAGTGATCCGTGGATATTGACATGCAGCTAGGAATCGTGTTGCCGGGGCGACACCGGGGAAATAAAAGCAATATAGACCTAAACATAAAGTAAATTTGTGAATGCTTTATATAAATACAATATAGGTGGGTCTAAATCATATCAGTGTTATATATAGCCTATATATATCATCATATCGTCCAGCCCTAAAACTTTATAGTTGTTTTTTTGGTGAGTGTTTATTAAAAAACATCCAATAATGCAGAATATGCAATAATAAATATTTTATTGATGAGTTGTTAATATATATAAAAATACAAAATATATGGGTATGGTTTTCCACCTAAATTCAGCAAATTGACACATAATGATAACTGCAAATCCACCTTTCGCTGACTGGAGTCCAGTTGATCCATTTGTCCTCTTTCTATAGCAGTCTGTTAAAAAATACCTCAGATTGTTTGTCAAATCTAGTTGTACAGTCAATCGCAAAGCTCTTTCCCACTTTATATGTGTTGTGTTTGTTCGTTGCGGCATTCACCCTGAAAGCCGCTCAGTCTTTTTGCCACTCACTGTGAGTAACTGCAGGCACTCCGGCCGACGGTGACGTCACGCGCATACCCTCTATACCGGTATATATATAAATATATATTAACGATGAAATACGGGACAAAACGTGATTTTTTTCATAATAAGTCGCTAAAATTAGAGTTGAAATACGGGAATGTCTCTGGAAAAACGGGTCTGGTCACCCTACATCAATGACACTGTGCAACCGATTGCGGAAGTTTGAATAGATGCATATGCAAATGAGATTTGAGAAGATTATAAGTAAACCTCGATCTGTTCTTCACACAAAACTATTGAATGGCTTTAGAAGGCTTAAATATACAGTGCTTGAGCTCACCAACCCCCATTCACTTTCATTATATGGAAAAGAGCAGCGTGAACATTCTGCTAAACATCTCTTTTTGTGTTCTCTGGAGGAAAAACAATGGAGCAAAGTCTAGCAAAAGCTTAAACAGCCATTATTTAATTATAATTGTTTTACCATTTTTAAATACCATTACTTCATATAGTCATACAAACACAAGTCTGTTCCTCTAACATAGAGAATTCAAGTGTTTAAACTAGCTATTTTTTTCTTTAGCTATTTCAATTTCCATCCTATTCATGGGAAGTGCCCATTACCTGCTGTTTTTGATAGGATCCCGCCGTCAAGTGTGTGTGTACCATCATCATTCATGCTATTTTCAGATCGTTTCCCTCATATCTGAAACTGCCCTTAGTTTCTAATCAATCTCTGAACTATCCAGCTAATCACACTCCACGAACACTGGAGAACGTGTATACCGCATCGTGCGCTTGTCCTTTCCACGGCTCCTCTAATCACCTAGCACGCGCTCATTTAAATATTAGAGTAGGCTTTAATCATGGAAAGTAATCAGCGGCATGAATATTCATACCGTGCCGGTCTAACAGTCTCATTGTCTCACTCCTGTGCCAAATCGTGTCTTCCTGCCTCTCAGCTGTCTGCTCTGATGGC